GGCTTTGCCCTGTCACAGTTGGGAGAGGGGATGCTCAAGACCGCAGGACACCTAGGGCTGAGGATAGGCAGGGGCCCCACCGGGCCCTCAAGTCATGAGCTCCCTCTTCATCTGGGAAATGCCCAGCTTGATGACTAAGATGTCCCCACCTGCTCAGAGTTCATCTAGCCCTGGTAACTTCCGTCCCCTCCCGCAGGGCCTCTTTGCCAATCAGCTACTCTTATTGCTATCATCCTGTTCCCTTGATCCCTCTGCAGGAGAAAGTTCAAGCTCCACAGTCTGGCATGAAATCACGCCGGGATCTGGCCTGCCACACCTCCTTCCATCCCTGCTGGTTCCTTCAGACACCCACACATGCCCGTGAGCCTGTGCCTTCTGCCTCGTAAACCCTCACTGCCTGCTCGCTCTCCTAGCTGCCCTGGTACTTTGCCCCTGGCCCATAGGGTACCCCGCATAAGGCTCACCCAGCACAAGGCAGCACTCTACATGCACCTATGACAAGCACACGGGCACCCTGGGCAACAATGCGAACATCACGGAACAGATGCACCCCCACCCCTGCCCAGAGGGGGCAGGGGGGCAGGCAATAGGAACTGATAAGGAACTATGACTTTCCAAATATGTGAAGAAAAGGAGCAATGTCAGAAAGGCAGAGGACAGGAGCTGTGCCTCATGATCACAGAAAATGCTTCCTGGGATTGCCCCCCCCCCCCGCCCCACCCTGGCAGGGGGCGCTGAAGGAACTGTTACACAAAGGCACTGGGGTGAGCAACCGCAGGCTTAAGCAGCTGCTGTGGGAGGGTCAGCGTGTCCAGGAAGGGACAGCTGGGGCAGAATGAGGCTGAGGAGAGAGACAGCCATCAGGTCACTCAGACCTATGGGACATGTTAATGATCATGGCATTTAGTTCCACAACAGTGAAAAGTGCGCAGCAGTCCATACTACGACAGCGCTGTTTTCCTGACTCATCCCTCTGGGCTCTGAGGGCCATTCCCAGAGCCCTGGTCTGCCCTCCGGGGGGAGCTCATGTGGATGGCACTCAGCACTATGGAGGAAGCTGTCCCTGGAGAACGTGTTCAGAGGGGCAGTCCCGGAACACCAGGGACAATTAATGTCCTTTCATCTGATCAAAACAGGAGAAGAGGCTGTGTAGATTCCACTCAGGGAAAATCCCTCCGGACTAAGACCACCACAACCCCACTAGGCTACGTCTGCAGAAGAGAGAGCAGCAGGAGGCCATCCCTCCCACCTGACAAAGCACTGGGAGCAACAGCAAGGAGAAGGTGCCCAATGCTCTCCTGAAAAGCTGCTTAAGGAGCCAGGAGGCCCCTGGGGTTCTGGCCAGCCCCATGCACCCCCATGGGCACGGTCCTTGAGGGACCTTTGCCCACATCTGTGCACTGATAACCAAATCTCAGGCAGAGCCGGCTGGCACCAAGCTGCTGGCTCCAAATGAACCTTGGAGCAGAAAAACAACTGAATCATCCCAAGGACTATCCAAGTCAAGTCACTGTGAGGCTAATCCAAACGCAAAAAAGCAAAGCAAAGCAAAACAAAACAACAGCATGGGGATGGCTTCCATGGCAACCAGTCTGAATGATCTATAATATGCCCAGGCCCACACCCTCCCACCTGGGCAGCCAGAAGGAAGCACGGCCACTCAGCTCAGGGTTCCTCCTGCCACTGGGGACACGGGTCTATGGAGACATCCCACTGTGGGGCGTTCCGGAGCTCTCAGGAGTGGCTCAGAAACTCACCTTTTCCCATGCATACCACCTCCAAATACTTCCCCGAAGACCTCAACACAGCCTTGGGAAGACCCTTCCCGCAGCGGCAGACCACCTGAACTGTTCTACTCACAACAAAATGCAGGACGGGCTGCTTTGCAAACTCCAGCTCCAGGCTATGCTTCCCACCTTTGAAATGGATATGCCACTGACTGACATCCCTGTCCCTCCAAGTCCCCAGACCTCAGTAATGCCTCCTTGTTAATATCCCAAGGATAAAAATTAAAACAATCTGAAGACAAAGGGCACGGTCAAGGTCAAGTGTCAGAGGTCAAAGGTCAAAGTCTACACGGCCTAGTTCTGAGCCTATACCTCCCCTATCTATGCAGAGGGAGACGCCCAGGTCAGCAAGGACAGCACCATGCCTGGTGGCAGACAGAAGTTCTTCCAGGCCCTCACCGTGCAGTGTCCCCCCTCCTCCCCGGCCAGCCCCTGCTTGTCTGCTCTCCCCCTGGGGCCTCTGGAAAGCACAGCCTGGCACACTTTTCCCCAAAGAATTGTTCTTTTCACAAAGGCGGAAGCTTCCTGGACTTATCAGATATCTGGCTTCTTACTGCAATGAAAATTTATCCCAGAAGTAAGGGGGGCTGGAAGGTTATCGTGAGGTCAGCACCCCTGCCTGCGGCCAAATCAGTGTGTGACCTGGACGGGACACACTCAGGGAACCAGCCAAGACCCTCCCTGGGAAACGCACCCAGTGGCTGGCAGTCTTAAGCCACACGTCCCCGTCCCCTCTGACATGCACACTCTGAACATTTTCTTCTGCCCAGAGCAGGAACAAGGGGAATCACCTGGGGTTCTGAACATGTCCGCAGCCACCACCCAGGGATAGCTGTCCCACAACTCCTGGGGCACCAGGACTAGCTAGGTGTGACACCTTCATAGAAAGATGGCACTGTTCTAACAGAGGGAGCTGTGGAACCCATACTGGAAGCCCAGCAGCAGGAAGAGCTGTGAGCCCTCAGCACGCACCAGCCACTGCACGTGTATGGTCCTGACAAACACAGGCATCTCACTTTAATGACAACAAAATTGTCATGTGAGTTGGGTATGGGTTGTGAGGCTGGGTCAATCTCCCTGTCTGGGGAGACTGGAGGGGGATAGCGAGGTTCACCCAGTGCAGGTTCAAATCCCACCTCACTGCCTCCTAATTATGGAGACTTGAGCAAGCTGCCCAATCTTCCTGCACCTGTTTCCTCACCCATACGGGGGCGTCAGAAAATCTTATTGCTCAGTAGGCATATGAGTTAATATTTATAAAGTACTTTACAACAGGGCTTGGCACGTCATGACTGCCCTGCAAATGTTTCCGGCTATAATAATGATTACTATCATTACACAATGCCCAGCCTGCCCAAATAGCTCAGCAGGGTCCTCACAGAGCTACCATCCTTCCATTTATTCCATGGGAATCCCTGCCCCAAAGGTCTCGGCAGCTCCCCAGAGAGCATCACCAGATACACCAGACATGTGGCAGCCTCCTGGAGAAGGCACGGTGGCACGGTGGCACGGATATGGGCAGACCAGGCATGCGGAAGGGCACTGCTTTAGTGGTTGCCAACTAAGGCTGCACCATGATGGTGACGGGGCAGGGGCCCAAGAAGGCAGAGGAACCACACTGTGGGATGGAGCAGTGGGTCCCCTGAGAAAGTCAAGACGGAATCCTGGCTCTGCAGGTCCCTGTGGAGACCCTGCACATACTCCTGACCAGCCTCAGTTTCCTGAGGGTACACAAAACAAGACAGGCAAGTCCTGCCAAGAGGCTGTAGAAATTAAATAGGTACAGGGGTGCGTGAGTGCTTCTCAGGCTGACCTTCTATGGGACAGGGGCCCAGTATGCAATCAACCAGGCAAATATTTCCTGTTTCCTCCGCCCAAACCCCGGTACCTAGAGAGCTCCCAGCGCACAGGCAGAACTCCGCAAGTACAATGTGGATCTCCAGGGAGCACTTTGCTGGGGCCGGGCATGATGATAGCACTCAACATCATCATTCATCTGCCCCTTCCAAACGGCCAGGAGATTTTCCTGTGACTCCCACCCACTTTACAAGTAAGAAAGCTGAGGCTCCAAGAAGTAACAGAGAACCATACCCATGGATTTCCCATGGCCTCAGCACCATGAGAAAAGACAGCCCAGCAAGTGAGAGGGGCTCTGGGCTGCTGGCAGGGCAGAGGCCTTAGAGGGCATGCATGACACGGGGACACCTCCCCACCCCACTCCAGCTCCACCACCACCAGGACCAGCGGCCTGGAGCAGTTGCAAATGATCAAGGGCCACTCTTGGGCGGCAAACAGGATTCTGCAACAGAGAGCTGGCCCAGGAAGCAGGCGAGAGCCACTGGGAAGTGAGGGAGGCCAAGGCCTATGGCTCTCACTGCGTGGGAAAGAAGAGCACTGTCAGCAGCACAGCTACTGTGCGACAAGAGCCCCTTTGTCCTGACGGAGAGAAACGGCTGCCAAGCCCCAGTTATCACACTGAAGTGCTAACTCAGGCACCCCTGTCCCTCCAGGAAGGCCTGGGGAACAGCCACTATTCCGGTTGCATTTTTGCTGATAATATGACTTTGTCTTTCATGACCCTGAGCTGATTCCCAGAAGAATCACATCTGTCCACAAAAGCAAACACACAGTGAAGGCCAGTGGAGGTGGCGGTGGTAGTGGCTGCCCCACGTGAAAACCCCAAGGGGGCCAGTGAGTCACTGTGGGGTCAGAACCGGGAGGCTGCCGAGGAAATGGGTGAGCGGACTCAATACAACATCTCAAGCCACGTTCAGCAAGAAACCCATAAGGCCACGGCAACAAGCAGAGAGGGAGGGTTCTCCATCACGGCATGACTCAGTTCAAGGCTCTCAGGGTTCCCTTGCTCTAAGCACAGCAAAAGGGTCTCATCCCAGTACCAAGTCAGAGCCACTGGTCAGGGCTGAGCATCCCTGTGCTGAGGAGGTGGCAGCCACATCCGGATGCACAGGGATCTGACCACATCCACATGAGCTGGGTGGCAGAGGTGTCACACACCCTGGACGTCTGTGCTATGAGACTGAGGCCTCTCGTGCAGAGAAGCACGCGCCAGGAAGCCATGTCTTGCCAGTGGCAGGACCACTTCTGTGGACATATTGAGACAGTAGCTACAGCTCCGTCTGTAGCTTACGGCAATTCCCAGGCCTCCCCTCTGCCTCCTGCAGGTCCCACAGCCAGCAGCCGGTCTTCACTCACCTGGAACCTGTGCACCAGCTCCAGGGACTGGCTGTCATTCTGGTCAGCTTCGAGGATGACATCGGTCAGCTTGTGGATGATGACGTCCAAAGGGCCTTGCTCCTCAATCGGCCGGCTAAGATTCAGCTGTGAGGCAGGAACAAAGATGAGGGCAACACCTTTAGCACCTGCATCTGCTGCCCCTTCTACAGACACAACCCTGAGCCCCCATGGACCCTCATGCCTGCAGCACATGGGGAGAAGACAGCACCCCAGGCTCTCCACCAGGGCAGGACAGTTCAAGAGCCCTTCGGGGTTCCCCTGCTCCAAGTGCAAAACCAAATCCCTTCATCGCCCTTGTGCAAAATGCTGGCAGGAATGACAGCTCGTCTCTTCCCTAACTCTTTGATGGCAGGGCCCACATGGTCTCCATACCCCATGTCACCCAGGAGCAGAAAACATATAAGCAAGCAATGCTATAAGACAGTTGTATAAAGAAAGCATTTACTGACTATATCTCATCTGCCCAACAACCTAGGGAAACTGGGCTCAGAAATGTTAAATAAAATGACCTTGAATCTGAGTGAATACTCTTTTCTATGAAAGCACAAGAAGGCTCAGCAAAGCTGTGGTCCTGGAAAATCTAGGAGCTGTTGCCTCGAGAACCCAGCCAGACCTGCACTGGGCTGAGCTGTGGACTCATCATGAACCGCAGAGAAGGGCAGGGCCGCCTGCACTCAGGGTAGTGCTTGTCACGCTGCTCCACGGAGGAGTGTGCTGATTTTTTTTGAAGAACCCGAGTTGGGGAGATCAGGCCCCAAGGGAGCCAGAGCTGCTGGCTGATAGTCGGCATCACCTGATCCCAAGCCAGGAACACCTGCCAACAGCCAGGGCAGCCTGACACCACGCTTCCTGAACGGCCAGATGTCTGCCGCCAGCTCATGGCCACAACACCTGCAAGGCCTGTCCCATGGAGGCTGCGGCGCCAGCCCGGCACCTGGCTGACCCCCCGCATGGCCTCAGCAGAGGCCAGAAAAGGCCATGAGCCCCACCCCACCTCATCCCTGCCCAACTGCACCTCCCTCCAGGATTCAAGGCTTTCTCTCCATTGTCAGCAAAGACATCCCATGACAGCTGCAAATGATCACTCCAAGCAGGCACAGTGCTCAGAGTTTACGTGTGTTCGTGCTGTTTTATTTCCAACCACTGTGAGAAACAATTTAACAATGAGAAGAGTGGAGAACGGAGACCTAACACCTCCCTGGGACCTCAGTAAGAGGAAGCAGAAGAGCTAGGATGTAAATTGGGACCTAACACGGCGCTGGGCGTTCAGTCTGTCCACCCACCCCAGGTCCCTTCTCTGGCCCGGTGCCCACTCGGTGTCCTGGGAGGCCGCGTCACTGACTGAGTCGGGACAACCAGGGGCAGAAGATGGGAGGCAGGGAGCAGCTGGCTGTGTATTCCGCTGTCTTCACGCTTCTCGTGCTCCCCCAGCCCCGCCACCTGTTGTATTTCTGGCGGCAGCCACAGCCCCTCTCCCAAGACAGCTCTCTCCATGGCTCCAGTTACACTTCTGGTCCCCTCATCCCCCAGGCCTCGGGTGGTGCCAGCGCACCACACTTGTTCACCCTGGGGCACGTTGTTCCTTGTGGGTCCTCAGGCTCTGCCCATACCTGGGCACACATAGAGGCTAATTTTAACTCTTTTCAGAATGTACCAGTTCTTTCCTGCTCATCTTCACTCCTCTTTTTTGCTGTTCGCCAGGGAAAATGGTAAGGCATCTCCCCTATTTAAGGGGACAAAAATAAACCCAGAGACCTCACACGCAGACTGAAGAATATGCTTCTCTCCCCATGGTGACGAGGCTGTGTATGATACAAAACAAAACAGCAAGACCCAGATGGCTGAGGCCTGACCGTCCCTTCTAGGGCCCTGGGTGAGGACAAGAGGTGGCATGTCCCAAATGTCTTCCTGAGACCTGAGCACAGGCGCTGGGGACAACCTTCTCCCTTCCCAGACCAGGACACCCCGAGAACCCGGGATGGAAAACCGACAACCAAACCAAGCAACAGGAAGCAGAGTCCCTGCGGCAGCTCTTGCCCAGTTGTGAGCTGACCTGGGTTTGCCATGCCTTGGGCCTCAGTTTCCCCTCAAGTAGAAAGGGAAAACTTCAGGGGCCTTTCTGGCTCAATTTGCAGACTCTATATTACAGTACATTCGGATCCAACCCCTTTTCCCCAAAGAAAAGCAGAATCCGAAGGAAGGTAGAGAAGTCAGTGGAAAGAGAGACAAGGGGGGATCCTTAAGGTGCCACAGGTGCCAATCCTTCCTGCTGTACTCCACTATGACAGGCACTGCACCCGGAGGCCAATATTTTCAGACCAAGACTGTTATAAACACAGTAAAAAGGGGCACAAACCACAGGGCTGACACACCACACCTGTTCCCCACGTCTCCAAAGACAACTCCCCAGGTCTCCCTGTAGCACTGGAGACAGAAATCAGCCTTAGAGGCATGGTGACACACACGTGTAATCCCAGCACTCAGGAGGCTGAGGCAGGAAGACCACCATGAGTTTGAGGCCAGCCTGAGCTATGCAGTAAGTTCAAGACCAGTCTGAAATACATAGTGAGACCTTGTCTCAAAAACCCCAAAGAAAAGAAAGATTATCAGTGAGGGAGGAGCCAGGGTTCCCCTGAGGATTTGGGAAGGAGGTGACACCTCTGGTATCAGCCTAAGGCATGCAGACCTGACAACCATAGGCTGTTTGGAAAATAAACTCTCTGTGTTCCTGGCCACACTGCTGAAGGTAAACAGTTGAGATCTGGAAGCTGGCCACTTTTCTCTGTGTATTTTCCAAGCATTTTTATGCCAGTAAAGCCCTTTCATAAGAACAGCAACTCGGGACATGCACCAGGCCCAGCCAGTCTCTGGCTGCCTCTCTGCTGTAGCATCTTTGCAGGCCAGAAATGGGCTGCTGTGCCTCTAACGGCTCTTCAGGCACCTCATTTTCCCAAGTGGCCAGATGTGACAACTCACTCTGAAAGACTGTTCCACTGAAAACCTCACAGGAGCCTTAGTCTCCTCACTGGCTGGAAAGGAGGAGGCCAGGCCTCCATGTGGGCAGACAGCGTGTCATGGGAGAGGGAGCACGCCTGCAGGGGAGGGGACCCTAGAAGCTGGGTGGCTGCAGGGGAGGGGACACTAGGCGAAGGATGCTCCAGAAGAGGGGATACTACAGAGGTCTCCAGACGGGACGGGCTGGGGATGAGGGCCCTAAGCAACCGACTCAAGTTTGTCATTCTGTGTTTCTGACCATACTCTGCCCCCAGGAAAGAGAACACTTCCAGGGACTTCTTGTTCTCTTCGGGAGCAGGGATCCGATTCATCCCTCCCGGCAAGGAGTGAGGATGTCTCGATGAAAGGGCCGCCCGCTGAGGCCAGAGGAGGTCCGTGGGCACTCTGTTTTCAAGTCACGCCATCCTGTGAGGCCAATGCTAGACGCTGCTCTGTGCAGCGTGCAAGGTTCAGAATTTGGAAGAGAACAAGGGGCCAGTGTTTCCTCAGTCACAAAGCAGCAAGGCTGCGGGGAGAGGGGTGCCGGGAGGAGATGGGACAAAGGCCTGCCAACTCCAGTGGCCCAGGAGTGACCTCTGACTTCCAAAATGATTAACCCAATCATGCCCAACCATTAAGCAAGGTGAGCCCAGCCAACATTATCACCTGTCCCCTGTACCTGGAACCGGGGAGGGGCAGGGGCAACAGGCCGGGAGGCCACCCAGCCCTACTGTGTCTCAGCTGAAGAAAGTCATTTAACCATTCCACACCAATTTCCACATTCACAAAATGAGGACACAAGTGACTCCTCCCCACACCTCACAGGGCTGTTTGATTCTAAGAGCAAAAGGTCAATTTTCCCACTTCTCAACTCCCCCTTCCCCAACAGGAAGCATTTATGACCCTCATCTCACCTACACGCCCAGGTGCCTCCCTCCAGGATTGCATCACGACTTCCAAATACACAGCCACTTCTTTAACTCACTGTGTCCACGGGATTGGGGCAACTGCCTCGCACCCCGTGCTGCGGCTGCTCATCGCCCCTGGCTTTGGAGCCCTCGCCACCAAGCCTGCGGCATCACAGAATTGAGGAAGTACAGGGCTGCTGCACAAAACCTAGTTTCCTGAACAGCCCACACAGGCTCTGGGGCTCACAAAGCTGCAACTAGGAGTGAGGGGCCAGGGCGCCTGCAGGGCTGGCACCTTCTCAGAACCCTGACTTCATCTCTGAAGCACGAAGCCTCACCAGCAGAGCTCTGGTAACTCCAGTGGCCCCAGGGTGACCTTAGGGCCAAAGCTCTTGCACGCTTACTCCGTGCCAGGCTCTGCTCTGAACCTGTGGCATTCAGGGACTCCTGCAATTCTCAGGACAGTCTGAGGCAGAGCCCGTGAGAGGGGCAGAGCAATTAAATGAGGCCAGGAGGCCTCAAAGCTTCACATGCGTTATTACTAGTACCTCACACTCAATAAATGTCAGCTATGGTATTTCCCTCTCCTTGCTAGTCACATTCCTACTGGTGAGGGAACCTCCCTGGGGTTGTGCCAATGACAGCCCAACACAGGCCAGAACATGAATCTGCACAGCTTTGGTTGCTTCTACTGGCTGACAGTAAAGGCCTCAAAGTGCACGCTGCCACACCAAAACTTGCAGTCTTCGTCATCCTTGGGGATGACAACCAGCCTTTCTGAAGTGCTTATGTTGGGCTATATGCTGTGGAACGAACTGACTCTATGGGGCACAGATAAGGAAACAGAGTCACGGGGATTTAATGACATACCCGAGGGCGTGGAGTTACAGTTCCATGGAAATCCAGCTCCTTGAACAGCCAAAAAGCTACAGCTGAAGCAGAGTGGGAAACCCAGGTCCCTTTCCTGCAAAGGCCAGACCATTACTCCACACCAAGAGGCATTCCAGGTGCCTCGGGCTTCTCTTTGCCTCCGCCTTCCCTGGTGCACTCTGTGGAATGAAGTGTTTTCAGCTGTGGCTTCAAACAAAAGCCGCCATGTCACAAGTTTTGCCTCAGAGAAAGGTAAAACGAATGACCCACATGAAAAGGCAACAAGGTGTAGGTCTGACACCTGCCGCCTAC